CTGCCGCCGCCGCCTCCGCTGCTGGTGCTGACGCCACCACTGCTGCTGGGGCTGTGATTTGAAATTTCTCAAAACGTTCCACCGTTTCTTGCGTTGCATCGGTGGGCATGGAAAGGTGAGGGGGCACTCCGGGACTTGCTTCAACACAGCTGCAGCTGCAGCAGCAGTGGGCGGGCTTCGTTGCAGGCACAGACACTGGCTGGCTCGGTGCGGGCGCGTACGGGGAAGGTGCATATGGTGCAGGTGGATATGCAGCAGATACATATGCAGGGGGTGAATATGGCAGGGTAGCTGCATCGCAAGAACGAGGAAGTGGTGGCTGAAGAGGTGGTGGCTGGAGGCATGGTTGAGACGAAGGTGAGAGAGCTGGTGGTGCTGGTGATGGCTGTACTGGAAGAGGTGGAGGGGAGGATTGAAAGGAGAGATGCTGCTGCTGTGGTGGTTGGGGCATTTGACGCGTCTCAGAAGCTGGAGGAAGGGGAGGTAAGGGAAGGGTCTGCTGCTGCTGCTGCTGCTGCTGCTGCTGCTGCTGCTGCTGCTGCTGCTGCTGCTGTTGCTGCTGCTGCTGCTGCTGCTGCTGCTGCTGCTGCTGCTGCTGCTGCTGCTGCTGCTGCTGCTGCTGCTGCTGCTGCTGCTGCTGCTGCTGCTGCTGCTGCTGCTGCTGCTGCTGCTGCTGCTGCTGCTGCTGCTGCTGCTCCTGTTGCTGTTGCTGTTGCTGTTGCTGCTGCTGTTGCTGCTGATGCTGATGCGGCAGGAATGGTAGATGAGCCTGGTAAGGTGCTTGGAACCCTTGTTGCAGGTGCTCATGCTGGTGCTGATGTTGATGCTGCTGATAGGCCTGGTAACGTGGTTGAAGTTGCTGCTGCTGCTGCTGCTGCTGCTGCTGCTGCTGCTGCTGCTGCTGCTGCTGCTGCTGCTGCTGCTGCTGCTGCTGCTGCTGCTGCTGCTGCTGCTGCTGCTGCTGCTGCTGCTGCTGTTGCTGCTGTTGCTGCTGTTGCTGTTGCTGTTGCTGCTGCTGTTGCTGGGATGGTAGATGAGCCTGGTAAGGTGGTTGGAACCCTTGTTGCAGGTGCTCATGCTGGTGCTGATGTTGATGCTGCTGATAGGCCTGGTAACGTGGTTGAAGTTGCTGCTGCTGCTGCTGCTGCTGCTGCTGCTGCTGCTGCTGCTGCTGCTGCTGCTGCTGCTGCTGCTGCTGCTGCTGCTGCTGCTGCTGCTGCTGCTGCTGCTGTTGCTGTTGCTGCTGTTGCTGCTGTTGCTGTTGCTGTTGCTGCTGCTGTTGCTGGGATGGTAGATGAGCCTGGAAAGGTGGTTGGAACCCTTGTTGCAGGTTCTCATGCTGGTGCTGATGTTGATGCTGCTGATAGGCCTTGTAACGTGGTTGAAGTTGCTGCTGCTGATGCTTTAGAGCATGGTAAGGTGGCTTGAACGGATGCTGCTGCTGCAGCTGTTGCAGGGAAGGGCACTGAGCTTGGTAAGTTGGCTGGTACTGATGCAACCCTGATTCCAAAAATTGGGAGGTGGAGGAACAAACTGCAGAGGTGGTGAGATCAGGGGGAACAGCAGCAGTGGGTGAGTGAGGAAGAGGAGAGTGAAGAGGAGAATGGTGGTGAGGATGAGGCTGTTTACAGGTTGCTTGTACAGGGGATGACTGGGGAGATGAGAAGACAGCAGATGCTGAAGCAGCCGGCTGCTGAGGAGAAGCAGGCTTTGGGATAGGAGGAATAAGAATCTCTGCTTGAACAGGAATGTAGGCTGCTGTTGGTGCTGGTGGTGGCAATTCTACTGGCGTGGCAGCTTCGAAACACCGAGGAGCTGCTGGAAAAGGCTTAGCTTCGAAACCCGGTGATTCGGACTCAGATGGCGCAGCAGGAGAGCGAGAGCTTGAACGATGGTGTGGCTCCAATTGGTTTTGAGTCTGTGTATGTATGCATTGGCTGGATTGCTGTTGCTCAGGCTTAGTCTGGTGCTGAGATTGCTGGCTAGATGTAGTATACAGCTGCTGCTGTCCATCGTTTTTCATGCAATACTGTCCGGCAGGAGGGACACCAGAAAATGTCAATGAAGCGGAGGAGTTAGGAAGTTTAGATATTATTTTGGATGGAGCGATTTTACGGTTTTGGTTGGAAATGTAGGTGTAGGGATTTTGCTTGCTGTCAGTGTAGTTCCTTGGCCGGTAACCAGCAACTCCAGAGGTATCAGAATCATCGTCAGGAGTGTCGCCAGCCACAGCTCTCGTCTTCGTGCTCGAAACATTCGCAGCTGCGACAGTCTTAGCGAGCGCCATCGCAACCATCGGAAGTTTCCGAAACCCGTGGTTCGGCTTGCGACGGGAAACAGGGGTCACTCCTTTATCGCTGTGCCCCAAAAAACTTGTCGACACACCAGTCGCCGGATTCGCCCGTAACAGACCACCCGTTTCGCTAACACTTGATTCCGGGGCAGCAGAAACGCCGGCGGTGGGAGTCGTGGGGAAAGCTGACGAGGGGTTGTGCCGCGGCGGGCTGTGATTGTGTTCGCCGGTGAACGAAACATGGAAACTCGCCGGTTGCGTGTCGACTCGCCAATCGACGGTTCGTTTCGCACGGCAAGGCTCTGCTCCTGCCAACCCCGAACCCGCGCAGCGGAAGTATGACCTGATGGATTGAATAAAGGGAGGCATTCAGTACACCTGAGATGATTGTTGGTAACTTTCCAGAGAATGAAATAATCAACATATTTTTGCATGATTGCAGACTGGGCACTTACCGCAGGCAATTGGGCTGGTTCATGAGCGGTTTCTCGCCATATTTTAGCCAGGAATAACCATCCTCTGGTAAACAAGTTGGCACGAGTGCAGCACGCAGCTTTTTTCCCTCGGCTTGACGAATCGCCTCGCTAGTGGTTGTACTATCGCCGCCGCTGCTTCCGCCGCCATTCGAGGACCGTCGGCCCGCGCCGCAATTCCTTATGCTGCTTCCGCTTCCAGTGCCCGTGCTATAGTACGATGCAGAGAAATGGGGAGAAGTGCGATGAGATGGCGATTTTGGCTTCACTGCGAAGTTAGCAGCGCCGTCAGGTCGAGCCGTGTCGCCACGAAATGTCGCAACAGAGTTCGGCGCTTTGAGAGAAAGGTCTGTGTGATGATCCGTTTTATTCTCATCTACGTTTTTCCGCTTCATTCTTAACAGGGTTGTCGTTGTCGGCGCCGCTGGCGCAGGGTACGGCGTAGTCATCGGTCACATTTCTCGGGCTAGACGTTTCTTGATGACGATTACTAAGGGTCAGACTGCGACGCCACAAACTGGGTGATCGAGGCATTACTAGCGTAAGTGGTATGGAGAGACAATGGTTGCTAGGAAAATCGTGGTAGATTTTGTGCACACGTTGCTCGCCTATGCGTGGTTCAGTAGGGTTGAAAAAAACCTGAACGACATCCGCCACTTGTTACCGCTTCAGATGGCGTTGTACCAAAGATAAGGGCGTGCTAACTCGCCACACAATTCCCAAAATGGGGTTTGGCCGAATTTTCGACGACCAAATGGTCGTCATATTTTTCGCGAACAACGACGAGGTGGCCGAATCAGAGTCGACTCTTTAACAGCCAAAATTTACAGTTTTGGTAGTTTAACAACTTTGGTGGCCGTATTGCAGGCTGGTTCGGAAAAGGTGTTAAATTTGCAGTTACTACAGTTGTTTGGTACGTGCGACGGGGTCGCACTTTTGACGGCGATGTTTCTCATTTGACACGATCACAAATTCCGTCGTTGGGCGAAACTATGCGACGTCGTAGGTGTTTGTCGTACTGAGTGTCGACAACTTCGCCGTTTTGGAGTCGACTCGGCGTCATTTTCGTGTAGACTTTTTGAACGCCCATCAAGTTGGATATTTCTTTACGACATTTGCGACGGTCGCCACTTGACTTGTGATTGTCAAAAACTGGTTACATTCACAAAAGCGGCCCGACGGATGTGGCAGAATTTCTGGAGTTTGCGATTTAGCACGCCCTAATTGTGCTGATGCTGTGCACAGATGAAGAGGGTGCTACCAAGCTGATTTTCTCGGAAGGCAGCTACGTGTACTGTATACTGTACAAGGACAACAACGCCTAACGTTGCATCCACCATCGGGCACTGGCTCTGGCTGCGCCGTGCCAAACAATCAACGTCCCTCACTCGGCCGAAAAAATCTCAGCGCGTTCAGGTCCTCGCCCAGCGGAGCTCGCTGCCCGCGGGCAAAACAAATACACCCTGTTTCGCGCTAGCAGAGCATCTGGTTGCAGAACATGCACTGGTTGTAGAACGTCACCACGTTTGAAATGGTCTTATCACCGACGGTACAAGCACATTCACAAGAAAGCGGTTAGCTAGGATGCTGCATGGTAAAGAACATTAAACAAGCGTTTCAAAGAGGTTGAAAAGGGTATACAGCGATAAAGAAAAATTTTGCCCCCAGTACCACTCCGTCAGCTGGTGCGGCTTTGCCCGCAGGTTTCAGCCATACGGTTTATGGCACCTGACCGCACTGTAGCAGCGAATCGCGCAAGGTGAGAGGGTCGAGAAACAGGGTGTAGCACCATTCAAAACAGGTCAACTACATACACCTGATAAATGTTTTGGTCCCCCAAGGTCCCCTTGTGCTCTGGGCTTATAAACTACTTTTGCAGTTCGCCCACTTCATTAAGGTTCGTCACAGGTAAGACGTGACTATATCTGTCACATGTTGTAACATGCTCGTTCCTTCCCCAACAGTGCTGGGGCGGCGTTCGTTGTTGGGCTATCGTACGTTGGGTTACCATGATTTTCGCCCAACTCAAACACAAACAATTTCATTCCACATTCCCACCAGTCACAAACATAACATTGTCGAACCCACCCAATAACAACGCACCACCTGTACCCAACCCCCCCTCCCCACAAATATCCTCGCCATTGATACAATGCATAGCATATGTGCACAAGGGGTGCACAACACACATTCGATGAGGCAAATTCATGCCTCCAAGGGAGCAAAGTCCCGCCTCACAGCCGCATCCACTCTGCTGCCGCCAGGTACCCGCTCATAACGGCGGGAGCACCGGCGTCAATGAGCTCCTGGTGGCGGGCCGTCTGAGCCACCCTGTCCGGGGTGGGCACGTGCATCCACGCCGGGAGCACCCTACCGCGGCGACGAGGGGTCTCTGGCGAGGGGGTGTCCGCATGAGTCACAGCAGGAGGAGGGGCGTTGTTGTGATCAAGGGCGGGGCTCGCGCGCTCCATGCGCGCAACAACGATGGGGTTTCGAGCGTCGAAAAGGGCGCACAGGTCGCGCGGCGAGATGCACGTCGCCCGCACGTACCCGATCAGCATCTCGCACGCCGCGCGCGCGGTACGATGAGCCTCGCGGGAGGCGGGGTTGCTATCATCGTACACCTGCTGCATGTTCGCCGGCACCTCCCACATAACTGCCGCATCGCGTGGCAGCGGCTCCCGCGCAAGTGGATCCTCGCCGGGCTCAGCGCACGTGGGCTGATTGTCGTCAATCCCCACAAACGCCTCGGCCGGCATGGCGCTCGGACCGAGGCAGAGCCGGTCGATGAGGAGGCCAACATCGTTGACCTCCTCATCGAGGCCGGTCTTGGTCCCATCCGCGCCATCGACCACCGTGCCGCCGTTGTTGCGTGGGATGGCTTCCACGTGGTCCAGGGAGAGTGCCCAAACGAGCGGAAGGCACCCCGTGCGCCACCAGCAGCGCTGGATGGCGCGCGGGGGAAGGTTCATCCACGCGTCATTCAACCACTCAACCACCGCCCGCATGTTGGGCCTGAAGCGCGCGACGGCAGACGTGGCACATTCGGCCGTCCACGTGCGGGTGAAGGCACGGATCCAATGCTGCCGGTACCGTGCCTTCGCCATGGAGATTAGCCCCTGGTCAAGCGGCTGGGTGAAACAAGTCGTGTTGGCAGCAGATAAACCAGCCGCACGTTCCCGAGCGCCACGGTGCGGAAACCGAACAGGTGATCCATCGTGGCGCCTTCGGTCTCGAGGGTGTGGCTGCTGGCATTGTCCAGCAGCACCACAATCTTCTTTCCCTCAGCGTACATTGCACCGTCGAGCTGCTCGATGAAGTGCGTGAACAACTGCACGGGGGGGACAGGAAACACACAGAGAACATAATGTGAGGAGCGGGTTCTTGTGTTTAGCGAGCACAATCACCATTTGCCTGTGAAATGCCTCTGTTTCACTCTTACGTTGCTAGTCATCCACCCCTTGGCGTTGTGGCGCCAGTAGCAATACTCATCGGGGTTGAAATCGGGGCGAAAATCGTGAGGATGGCTCAACTTTGAGATGACCAACGGCCTGAACTTTCGGGTACCGTCGGCGTTGACGAGGAACCCGACGGTAAGACGTTGCTACCATAGGTTTTCCTTGGCAGGATGGAGATGTACAATGCGGTCTCGTCAAAGTTGAAGGTGTCGCTCGGAGTGACGGACAGGTGCATCAGGAGCTGTGGCAACTTCTCCTTAGTCGTCCGCACGGCATTCATGTCCTGGTCGGCCGCCTCGCCGACCGCGCTCATGCAGCGAACGCCCTGACAGCGCAGCGCGCGACGAACCCAACCGATTGAGCAGCGAAACGTCGGCGGAGCGCCGTTAGCCTGTGCCATATTCGCGACATGGTCACGAATGGTGGCTAGAGTGAGCGGGATACCCGCGGGTCCCGCATTGGCGATCCAGCGGGCCATCGCGCGCTCGAGCACCGGATAAAAACCGCCACGGATGCGAATGTTGTCGGCGTCGGCATCAGGGCGGACCCAACGATCGACGCTCTTCAGGACACGACCGATCGTGCTGCGGTCGGGGTGGATGCCGAACCTGGTGAAACACCACCGGGAGAGGTCAACATGGCGCAAGTGCGGATTCGCGACGTGGTGTTCGCAAATCGCGCGCTTAATTGGCAGGCCAAGCTGTGTGCGGTGGTAGAGGCGCAGCATGGTGTTGAGCTGTGGATGTGGTGACGAATGAGAAATGTGCGGGGGGGGGTGTGGCCTCTTATTCTACATTTTCGCGAGACACTAGAAGAGGCGGGATGAGGGCAGTTTGAGAATGTTGTGCTTGGCCGTGCAAACACGCTAGCGCATCTGGTCGACCTTTGACACCACATGGAGCCGGTAACCACAGCCATGCGAGGTGACGTGTGATTGCTGCTCTTCGTGCGGACGGGAATGTGTTTGTATCGAGCAGGTGCAGGTTCCACGTGGGGCCATGAATATGCCCCTGGGTTTGTTTGGAGCACGTTGACACGGCTTACGTGTCAGGTTGAAGTGCGCGAATGTGGAAGCGAGGATGTGTGGTTTTCGCACAGACGCATTCGCGACGTTGTCCCTGGCCAGAAACCTGGTGGCAGAGGGTGTGGCTGTCTTGTTTTTTCGTCTGAATACATCTGTGGTTGTATCTGTGCAACTCGGGCAGGTAGTCCAAAGGTGCGTGTATCGTGGGTGCAGCCCCAGGGCAAAAACCCCGCGGGTGCAGAGTTTCCAATTGGTGCAGACCAATTGCGCGTGCATGGGGTGAGCATCATGTGTACAGCTCGAGCTTCCACATTAAGAAGTACACTTTTTCTGCCTGCACGAGTGAAGCGATTGCAAACAGGCCGACAGGTTTTCGCAGGGGCACCAATGCCGGGAGGGAACGGATTTCGCGAACGCGGGAAATTGACCTGGAGAAATCGGTAGGGGTCCTACACTCGTTGCGACGCCGGGTAACCAGTCGGGTGCGTGCTGCGTTAGCCTAGCCCAGCCGTGGTCGTCGGATTGGTTAGGTGGTCCCAGCAAAGCTGCGTCAGCCGGGCCAAGGCTGTGTCGGCTTTCGGGCGAGCCACGTGCGATCGTGGTTCGGCCCCCAACTAAGGGCGTGTAAAATTGTAACGACCAAATGCTATGGTCGATTATTCGGACGTTTCTGGCGATTGCGAGGAATTAGGGTTACGCCGATGGGAGTAGTCACCCCCGTCTGACAGATTTTCAGTGGTAATTTAGGAACAGAGATTTACGCACCGCAATTTGGGACATGATTAAACTGATGCTCAGTGTGGAACCTTTTTTTCCGTTTACCTAAACCCACTGCTCTGGTTAACACTCTAGTGAGAAAACTAGAACGAGAATAAAGAAGAGAATGAAGGAGGGGTTTCACTAGCAGCAATGAGGATACATATAGCAAACCCTAAATGGGCTGTACTTGCTATAGAGCACCCCACTACAGGCTAGAGAATAACATTCTGACACACCCCCATAGCCAAAGTGGGGTGTAATCAGCACAATGAGAAAGCAGGCATAGAGCAGGAGTTGACAATAGGTAAGTAAGGCTAGAGCTAATCACAGAGGGCAAGTGAGGAGGAGGAGAGACTGTGGGGGAGAGAAGATGGGAGGCGACTGCTGACGCTGCAGACACACAGACGAGCTGCTGGCTGAGTGGCTACCGAAGCAAAGGCCCGGACTACAGGAGTAACTGGCTCCGCGGCTAAAAGTAGCGGCAGACGAGCAACTGACCCACAGACGACTGGCGACTACCGGAGATTGTAGCCTCCGGACTGCTGGTGCTGCTGACGACAAGACTGCTGCCTCCACGCAACCTCCCCCAGCTGCCCAACGCCCCTCTCACACACCCCCTGCTCAAACCCTAACCCTACACCCACAGCACCCCCGTAAACCCTAAACCCCAGACGCCCACACATCCACCTCCCTCAAAACCCTAGCTCCACTCCCACAGTACCCCCCTTAAACCCTAAACCCCAGGCTCCCACACATCCACCCCCCCTCAGCGTCAGCTGCAGCAGTGGGAGACGAAGGAGGAGGAGGAGCAGGGGAGACCACACACCCGTCACCCCCTTCTTGCCACCCCCAAACCCTAACACGGGGCAGGGCGGGATGGCGGGTAGGGAGGGGGGGGGGGGGGGGGGGGGGGGCGACGCGCGGCCTCCCAGGGCACCAAAGCAGGCGGCAGAAGGGGCGACGCTCGCCCCCCCCCCCCCCCCCCCGAAGGAGCCGCAACGGGCGACGGGAACAAGGGGGGGGGGGGGGGGGGGGGTGCACGTGCCCCCGGTGCGTCGCGGCTGGCGGCGGGGCATGGCCGGGGCGGGGCCGGGGCCACTGTAGGCGGCGACGGGGCCGAGGAAGGGCGGCGACAGGGCCGCTGAAGGGTGGCGACGGGGCCGCTGAAGGGCGGCGACGGGGCCGCGGAAGGGCGGCGACGGGGCCGCTGAAAGGGCGGCGACGGGGCCGCGGAAGGGCGGCGACGGGCCGCGAAAGGGGCGGCGACGGGGCCGCGGAAGGGCGGCGACGGGCCGCGAAAGGGGCGGCGACGGGGCCGCGAAGGGGCCGCGAGGGGCCTGGAAGGGCGGCGACGGGGCCGTTGAAAGGGCGGCGACGGGGCCGCGGAAGGGCGGCGACGGGCCGCGAAAGGGGCGGCGACGGGGCCGCGAAGGGGCCACGAGGTGCCTGGAAGGGCGGCAACGGGGCCGCGAAGGGGCCGCGAGGGGCTAGGAAGGGCGGCAACGGGGCCGCTAAGAGAAGCGCGAGGGGCACGCCACGGGGCGTGCCGAGCACAGAGTAGCAGCGGAAGCAGTTGGGTCCTAGGATCGGAACCACTCTGATAACAAGTGAAAACTAGAACGAGAATGAAGAAGAGAATGAAGGAGGGGTTTCACTAGCAGCAATAAGGATACATATGTCAGAGGTCCACTGGTGATCCCCGATTGATCCTAGGGAAGGGTTACAGGCACGTTGGCCTGGGGGGTTATGGGCGCACTGACCCGCTACTTAACAAGCCCTTTTATCCCAATGGTCTAGTGGTTGGGATTCTGACATGGTATCAGAGCGAAGGTCTCGGGTTCAAATCCCGGTGTATGCACTTCGGGCATCCCAGTGCGGGGGGGTGTCAGAGGTCCACTGGTGATCCCCGATCGATCCTAGGGAAGGGTTACAGGCACATTTGCCTGGGGGGTTATGGGCGCACTGACCCGCTACTAAAACAAGCCCTTCTATCCCAATGGTCTAGTGACTGGGATTCTGACATGGTATCAGAGCGAAGGTCTCGGGTTCGAATCCCGGTGTATGCACTTCGGGCATCCCAGTGCGGGGGGGTGTCAGAGGTCCACTGGTGATCCCCGATTGATCCTAGGGAAGGGTTACAGGCACGTTGGCCTGGGGGGTTATGGGCGCACTGACCCGCTACTTAACAAGCCCTTTTATCCCAATGGTCTAGTGGTTGGGATTCTGACAACATATAGCAAACCCTAGATGGGTTGTGTTCGCTTTAGAGCACCCCACTACAGGCTAGAGAATAACATTCTGACATCTAGTCTAGGCTTTAGATCCCCCGTATTCCACACCCCTTTCGAATGTAGTAAGGGAATCGAAACATTTCCTTTTTAATTAAAGGGGGTGGTTCGGGGTGGGTGCTTTAAATGCTGACAATCTTTGTGGCGGGGTTGGCTTAAGCGTTACATATTTCGCACTCGCCAGCAACGCCCAAATGATCGACCATAGCGTTTGGTCGTTACAATTTTACACGCCCTAAGCCCAAGGGTCGGCCGCCCGATTTCGCAGCAGGAATGAGCGGCCGAGTGCCCAGCCCTGGGTTCGTCGTTTTCCTGGCGTGCCCCACGTGAGGACACCGTAACCCTCGCCCCATTACGGACCGTTTTTCCTCGCATCGCATCGCAACCACACGTGAGGTTCGCAATCAAACAAAATCTGTAAGTGTGTCATTTGCCAAGAAAGGAGCCTACACTCTCCTGCTTACTGTTACGAGTGCAATTGAGTGATCGAACGAGTATTGCACTATTAGAGTACAAATGAGCGAAGGTTTTGAGCGAAGAATATATAGCGAAACTAAAATGGTAACAGTAATGAACTATGGTTGACGCGCGACGGGCCTGGAACTGAGGTTGGGATTGTGGTCGGGAAATGTCGAGGTGGAGGCCCGAAGCGCTGGTTACCCGCCGAGCCGTGAGGTCGGGGTGCCACTTGTCAGAGGTCCACGGTGATCCCCGATTGATCCTAGGGAAGGGTTACAGGCACGTTGGCCTGGGGGGTTATGGGCGCACTTACCCGCTACACAAACAAGCCTCTTTATCCCAATGGTCTAGTGGTTGGGATTCTGACATGGTATCAGAGCGAAGGTCTCGGGTTCGAATCCTGGTGTGTGCACTTCGGGCATCCCAGTGCGGGGGGGTGTCAGAGGTCCACTGGTGATCCCCGATTGATCCTAGGGAAGGGTTACAGGCACGTTGGCCTGGGGGGTTATGGGCGCACTTACCCGCTACACAAACAAGCCCTTTTATCCCAATGGTCTAGTGGTTGGGCATCTGATACGACGTGAGAAGGTGGCGGGAGGATTGTCGATGCGAGGATTGCGAGTGGTAACGGTGCTGACTATGGTGCTACAGTGATGTACGCACTGAGGAGGGGCGCGAAGTAAGGAAAGGGAATTTTCCTTACAC